GGCTGGTGCAGGATGGGTTTACCTCAATCGGCTCCCGGTCAGTGCTACAATGGGGGTGCTAAGGCATCTCCTTGCCTCTCCTGGCTCCGCACACCATGCTGCGCCCCAGAAGCAGCCGCAGCAGGTTCCCAGCCAATGGCAGTGCGGAGCTAGCACTCAGGGTAGGAGCTCTTCTCCCGCCCCGTGCCAGGCCTGCTGCTGGCCCTGGCCACTTCTGGGGCACAGCAGTAGTGCCAGGACAGGCAGGGAGCTGCCTTAGCACCCCCACGGGTCACCTGATCCCCAGGCAGCCACGCGCCCCAGGGCCCGACGTGCCACGCCCCAATCCTGGGTCGCGCCCCCTGGCTTGAAAACCACGATTATAAACTCTGCGCAGGGATCGATTCACCCCGCGGCCTCCTCTGGCGAGCGGCTCCCAGCAGCGCTAGGTACTGGCGTAGAACAGGAAGAGAGGGAGGCTTGCGTACGCAGCCAGGGCACAAACCCAGCTCCTGAACAAGGCAAGATGAAACGGACTCAAGTCTCCGAAGCCGGCTGAGGACACCCACCTTTTAGGCACGTCGATGTTCCTAGACACGGATCTCGGAGCTGATCCTGTGGGGCTCTGCTCCATCGCCGCAGGAGGGCTATGGTCCATTGGAAGAGGCGGAGGCAGCGGTGTCTGGATCTCCGCCAGTCTCACGTCCTCTGCCTTCCAGCAGGCCTGCAGTCCCTGCTCCGGTAGCAGCACCTTCACCTCATCGTCCGGCTGACTGTGCTGCTCCACCAGGCCCGCGCACTCCTGCCCGTTGTAGGTGACGTAGACCTACGTGAGGACAAATCACCACAGTTCAGTGTCACTTTCCATCCTTCAGCGGAACCCGGCGCAACGCTCCCCTGTACGAAGCCCCCGCTGCCGGGGCTCCATCGCTAACGAAAGCACCTCCATCCTACGCCACCGCTCGAGGGAACGGGATTAGCAATGGTCACCCACGCTCGGGGCTTTCTCCACGTGCTCGCTGGGACTCAAGAGCCCCCCCCGACTCCAATACTTGGCCATGGCTGATGCAGCAGCCCTGCAGCATGATGCACTATTGATCACGTGGAGTGTAACCCCCGGACTCCCCAAAGGGGGGGGCAAGCCTCAGAGCCCCTGTGGAATAAAGAAGAACGGGACTTCTCCCACGGACTTCAAGGGTGGGTTTGTTGATTTCAATGGGAGCAAAACTGGGCCTCAGCAGCAGGCCAGATTTAAGCCAAATTTAGCTTTTGGCCACAACAACATTTTACAAAAGGTCTTAATAATATTCCCATGAAATACAAAGCAAAACCCAAACCACATTGCATGAGACCCTGACGGGAAAACAGACTAGAAACAAACATGAAACCGGTAAGGCTGCTTTTGGCTGCCGCACGGAGTGAAATGTAAAATGCAAGAGCGGCGGAGCTGGGGAATGCGAGTCCGATTTCTTTCCTTTTCCACTTCCGGAGACGGGAACAGAACACGGGTGAGGCCTCCATTGAAAAGGATTTTCACCACGAGCAAGGTCCCTTTAAAACTCAGCTGGGCAAAGGGCTGCAGGACAGAGCGTAAATCCCAACCTCCGAGCTACAGAGATTTCCTAAGGAGCTGCCGGAGCCCCGTCATTTCAAGCGTGGAAACGTTGTAAGGGCCCATTCTATGGCTGTGTACACATGCATCACGGCCCTCGGCTGGCAGCCCTCAGAACTGCTCAGCTGTGTGTCAGGCCCTATGTCGCTAAAGGGAGATTCTCCATCAGCGCATGTATCGGGGGGAGCCTTTGGGGTGCTCAACCCCCACTATTAGCAGGACGTTCCATGCTGTCCCACGAGGACACGCATCTGTTGTAGTGCGAAGCCAGAGTGAAGTACACAACGGCTCGTGTGCACAGCTGGTGCGTGCAGCACGGAAACGCCAAAGCAAGTGCAGGATCAAATGCTCCAGCAGACTCCGTCGTGAACGGTGGCAACCGCCCCTTTAGGAGTCAGAGCAGGGCTGCAGGGGTGTGAAAACCCCCCTGCCCCATAGGGCAGCGTTCTTCTAGAGCCCCCGCTCGACCACCCTAGAGCCAAATTCACAGCAGGAGCAAGTCGGCATAACCACCCGGACGTCAACGGAGTTGTGCCAGGCCAACCCTACAGACACTAGATCTTGCAAGTTGGAGGGAGCAAGTTGGAGGGCACAGGGGAAAGAAATGATTCTAGCAGCCCCCCACCAACTATTGTGCTCAACAGATGGCTCTGCTCTGACCCCCTAAGCGACAGGACAAGGAACCAGCCCCAGCCCCTCCCCATAGCACGTCCCCTTATCAGTATAGTTGGACATCTCTGGTCCAGCACCCTGGGGACCTGACCGGCCCCGGACCAAGGAGTTGGCTAGACTCGGGGAATGTTGGCCCCTTTGCTGCCAGCCTCTGGGCTGTCCAGGGGAGTCACTGCCCCCTCCCGCCGCCGGCCCGGCTCTGCTCCTGGGCACCAGCCCCCTCTCCCTGTCGCTGTTCGAGCTCCACTCCTGGCCGGCCCCTGCTCCCAGCAACGGGGCTCCCAGGTCTGGTAACCAGACCAGAGAGTCCCAGATTAGAGACGTTCGACTGCGTTTACATTACAACGGCGATCGAGGTCTCTTGCGCTAGGTGCTGCAGGGCCGTGAAGTGCCAAGACAGTCCCTGCCCCAAACAGCTTACAATGGGGCTTTATGACCAAAGGTAGCAGGGGGGTAACACAAAAAGACAGGCAGGGAGACAAGAGGTTTGCTTGGTGAAAAGCACCAACTCTCAGAGGAAAGGGACGGATCAGCCATCTAAGGAAAGGTAGAAAAGAAATCTCAAGAGCGGAAGCTTTTCTTCACTTACAAGAGTGGAGAAAACCAAGAGAACGGGCACCCTCCTTTGCAAGACGGGCAGAGTGTGGCAGGGAAGAGCTTTCATCCACGGGCAGCAGAGGAAATCCTCAAACTTCCTCTTTCAATCAAGGTGCCCCAATGCCCTAACAGGCTGCTTTTACCCCAGCTTCTAAGAGTCTGGTTTTATTCAGGTAAACCCATTTGTGCTGAAATACACCAGACTTGTGAAGCGTTCGCAGCTATGAATAGGGACACAATAGTGTTCTTCTTGTTCCATAAGACTGGCCATACTGGGTCAGACCAACGGGCCATCAGCCCAGTGTCCTGTCTGCCGACAGTGGCCAATACCAGATGCCCCAAAGGGAGGGAACACAACAGGTAATCTCACGTGATCCCTCCCCGGTCACCCGCCTCCAGACAAACAGGCTAGGGACACCATTCCTACCCACCCTGACTCACAACCAGTGATGGACCTAACCTCCAGGACTCTATCTAGCTCTTTTTTGAACCCTGTTAAAGTTCTAGCCTTCACCACATCCTCTGGCAAGGAGTTCCGCAGGTTGACTGTTTTCTTATAAGTAAATACTAGAGGTGATGCATGGATACGGTGGGTACAAAATGCACAGTGCTCTGAGGCAGAGAAAAGGTCTCAGCTGAGACTGGATGCAGATTCTAAAGCAGAGCGGCTACAGCACTGACGGGATTAAGACCCAGAAGCCCCTGGCTCCCAGCTGGATGCTCAGGACACTAGAACCTGCTTCTCTCCCAGAGTAGCTAACCAGACAATAAGGAATGGGGCTCCCCAAAGCACCTTACGCCAGTGGGCTCCGCAAGTTCTGAGCAGCGGGGCCTGGCTGCTCTCACCTCTGCTGCTGCTGCACAGCAACTAAACACACGCACACAACGGCGCCTGTCGCTGGGACGGCAACACAACACCCCACCCCACTGACTATTTTTAGGCTACGTCTCATGGGAAGGCCCCAAAAGTCCTACAAAAGGAACAGGGCCAAAGGAAGCCGGCCTCCTGTGCGCTTGTAGGACAGCTCTTGGTGCCAGCCAAAAAGCCCAACCAGGGCCTGCTACACACTTGGTTCGAAGAGCTCGGCCTTGAAAACATTTTACAGTTCCCCTGGCCCATCTCAAGGGCCCCAGCAGCCCGTCAGTAGCCCTCCCGCTCCGTTGTGACAGCCACACTCTGAGCTTTGGGGTGCGGGTGGTTTTTTTACTATAACTTCCCACCTGTCGGGGCAGTTAAGCGCCAGAACAAATTCCCTCGGGCGGCTGTGGATTCTGCCGCGGTAGCAGTTTTTAAGAGCGGGTTGGACACACCCATCAGGGATGAGCTAATACTCAGTCCCGTCTCCGCGCAGGGACTGAGCTCCGCGCCCTATCAAGGTTCCTTCCAGTCCTACGTCTACGATTCTGTCAACAGCGATCGCTCCTACTCGGCATGTCAAAGGTTAACCGGCAAGCCAGCAGGGGCTGGAGCAAATCCCCGGCCCTGGGGGCTGCTCCAAGCCCCCCGGAGCAGCCCCTGGTCCATGGGGGACCCAGCTGCTCCCTCCCCACTGCCACACCTGACACGCCACCTGCCTGGGAGTGGAGCCAGCAGCCCTGGCCAGCCCTGCCCCCCGGGGAGACTTCGCTGTGGGCTCACTGAAGCTTTCTACTGCAGAGCCCGCAGGGTGCGTAACCGTGAGGCTTTCCAGCCGTTCCGTGGTGACGCTGTTAACTGCACGTTCACAGCCCTAGTTCCTACAGCGCGGAAGACAGAGCCAGCGCTCCGCAGAGCGCCCTGCCCATCTACGGCCCTGAACCGCCAAGGGGCTCAGAGCCAGGGGAGCGGACAGGGCTGCCGGGTGAGAGTTTTGGCTCCACACGCCCGGAAGGGGGAAGCCAGCGGGGAGGAGGGGCGGGCCTGGGGCAGGCAGAGGCTGGCCGGAGTGCCCAGCGCGGGCTCTGCAGTGCACAGTGCAGCTCTCCTGCAGTGATCCACAAGGGCCTGAGCCTCCAGCTGCCTCTGCTGCTGCAAATGACAGCAGCGAGGAGCCCCGGGGCCCTTAGAATCACTAGGCCCCGCATCGCGAGCCTGCTCAGAGCCCTTCATTCCACTGAGCACCACCGGGGTGGAAGGTGCTCGGCACGGGCAGGGCAAGATGCCCTATGTCTGTGCCGCTCCTGACCTGAGACAAGGAAGACAGGCCTATAGCGTTTCCTGTACGCTGAGCGCTTGGGCAGCCACCCAGGAGAGATTCAAATGCTGCCCAGTTGATTAGCAGAGCACCCACAGCTGGCAGCATGTGTTTCTACTGGTGGTGCACATCTTGGTGCATGTAACAAAATTTATTCCGCTCATGGATGGGAAAAGTTTGAGGGAACATTGCAGGCCTGTGACCCTGGCTCTTTCAGTCCCTAGTCTCCCTACTGAGGCTACTGATGGAGACGCTTGTTCACAGGGAGCCCCCTAAACTCCCTCCCCGCCGGCTACCCAACAGCTAGCAGATGCTAGTGACTCGGTCGTGACAGAGCAAGGCCAGATTTGAGCCAGCAGCTCACTCGTAATCCCTGAACGAACGCAGCCAGACACAGAGATCCCATGCCCCACCCCCGGAACCCACCCGGGCAGCTCTTCACTGCAGACTTAGCCCCGGCTCGCAGGACGTGGGGGGAGAACTGGGCTGTCCTTCCTGAGCCCCAACAGGAGAGTGCTCTGATGGGTCTTGCAGGCACCCCATTGCCGGAAGGCTGGAGCTTCCGGCCAACCGGGAGACGGATTCCTTGGCTGGCACCTCCCTCCAAAAGCTGTGGAAGTACAGCAGTAACGAAGCAGGCCACCAGGGGCGTGACCCGGCTCGCAGGACGTGGGGGGAGAACTGGGCTGTCCTTCCTGAGCCCCAACAGGAGAGTGCTCTGATGGGTCTTGCAGGCACCCCATTGCCGGAAGGCTGGAGCTTCCGGCCAACCGGGAGACGGATTCCTTGGCTGGCACCTCCCTCCAAAAGCTGTGGAAGTACAGCAGTAACGAAGCAGGCCACCAGGGGCGTGACGAAGTGGGGATCGTATGCGCTCGGTGCGCTTTGCTATGTGGCGTGTGATTTCTGCTGTCCCGGGGGGGGGGGGGGGGGGCCACGTTGCCCGGGGCCGCTGGTGTGAGTGAGTCTGGCTGGCTTGGGGTGCAGTGAGGGGGGCAGGGCCCTTGCCTCAGGGCCCCCTCTCTGGAAGATGGACTGTCCTGTCGGCTTTTGCTTTCTGTGCGGACACGTCTGCCCCATTCTGTGTCCTTGTAACTTCTGTTCTGCCTGCTGGCTGAGTCACATCTGGCTGTGGATGGGGGGGGCGGGAGAGGGCAGGGCCCGGGGACCCCCCGCCCCCCAG